GTACCTTTTTGATTGGTTTGTTTTACAGTTGGTATACTTCCATCTGTTGTATGGTATCTGCAAAGGAAACAGCTTTTTTATATATCAATAAACCCGAGTACCTAACAGTCCTCATTGACTAACCATGATTGTCTGATAAGGTGTATTGGTTGCACCAGGTGTCCTTGTCATAAGACCTTTGCTTGGTATGCATGTTCATGTAATTTCTGTATTTGATTATATTGTCGTTTAAATAAAATTGGTGTCAGTTGATCATGTTTATCATTTTCTGTTCCTATTTATTTAATCATGATTGTGATGTCCATAAGTGAACAAGTAATAAATCATGTTGAGAGCCTAATACTGGAAATCATAATTATAATTTTCCTTTACTATTCCAGGCCATTTCTATTGATCTACCAAATGTGCTGTTACTTTCTGTTCCTTGACCCCCCCCCCCCAATCCCTTGCCCGTTGTTGTCGTGGGGGGCTTAGGAGATGGAGACGGAGACCCAGTACAGGGATCTCCCCTGCCTAGGGCCTCAGCCCTCGACTCAACTAATTTTGCATGGTCTTTTCCCCCTCAGCTTTTTGTTTGTTTTGTCCCTTCTCCAACCCCTTCTACTATCTACTTCCTAAGGTGTAAGAGCCATGCAGAAAGGATGAAAGGCTGACCTTGTGCTAGTCCTGAACACCCTGCGGGAACCATGGGCACGGTACTCCCCTGATTTAGTTTGGTTAGCCCTTACCCCGTACAGGGCACTGGGGGTGGACTGTTTATTTCACTTACATAATCAAGGCTTCCCATGGCCAGTAATGAAGATGTAATACCCTTATTAGGGGCAATGAGGCTTGCCCCTTCATCAAATAGACCCACCGGCTCTCCGACCCCAGGCTCTCCTTTGACTACGATTCCGAACACTGAAACTACTACCCACTCCTCAATGCCTACGAGTGCATTACCACCTATACGAGACTCAATCTCCAGAAGACATTCCTACTCTCCCAACTTCCTCAACTTCATCACCTCTACCCCTACAACCTTCTTCATCAAACACCCCAAACCCCCTTATTACTACCTTACAGCCTTATTCTCCATCTCTCCATAATACTACCCCCCTCAACAACACTCCCGCTTTCACATGCCCCCATCCTTCTACCACCACCAACCATACAAATATCTCATCTTACTCTATTTAGCCCAGCTAAATGGGACCGATTTTTCGTGATTCCCCCTACAGCTCCTTACTCAGGCAACACTTTTTTCTTTCAAAATGTCTCCAAAAACATGTAGGCAGAGTCCCTTTCTGTACCCGACGCGATCCCCTGTCTTGTAACAGTCAGATCTGAAGCTGAAGCTATAGCATTAACAAAACTAACTGATCTTTCTGGCAACCCCATCCCTGCAGAACCTCATCCAACTCTTAATACTTGTGCACTGGAACTGTCTCTATCTTCCCAGCAAACTGCCCAGTCGATACTAAAGATTGGTCAGATTGTGGAGAAGACTTGTTCAGCTCCCTCAAAGACCAGGACGTGATATCAGTACATTGCTACTCCATTCCTCCTAGAGGTCATCAAAAGAAACCCACCGACATTGCCAAAATTACTTTCAGTACACATGACTTTCCCATTTGTATCTACAATGGTGGACAATCCTTCCCTGTTCAACCATACCAACCTTCTCCCCGTCAATGTCAAAATTGTTGGTGGTTTGGACATCCTGCCAAACACTGCCGCTCCACAACCGATGCCCCTCTGTGCCCAATCCGGTTATAACAGATCAAACTGCCCTGCACAAACACGCACATGTGCTAACTGCAGCGGCCCCCATAATGTATTTTATAAGGCTGTCCCACTTACAAGTTCGAGTCTGAGGAAGCAGCTCTCAGATACGAAAATGGTCTCACTCTAGGTGAAGCCAGCCAGGAAGCACGCCAACAAGGTTTCTCTTATACTCCCTACTCCTGTAATGTCATTCGCTCTGCCCCTCCCCTTCCACCTCAAGATGTTCCTACACCCTCCCCTATACCTACTTACTTCCCCACTTCCACTTCTACATTCTATCTCCCCCAGTCAAATTCTTTTGCCTCTCTAAATCCAGTCTCAACTACAGTTCCAATATCAACTACAGCCCCAACACCTTCCCCTCTCCTTCCCTGCACTACCCGCAGCAGATAGACTAATAGTTCCCCCCCTTCTTCCCCTACTCCTCCTCTTCCCCCCTCATAAGAAAACCTTTGTCTCACAAAACTCTCCAACCAACTCCACTGCAGAAACTATGGAAGATATCTAAAACTATATGCTTGAGTCACAAGATTCCACGACTCGTGCTCCCTCCACACTTGAAGTGACTGCCGATATCCATCCCCCTCCTACTCATATTCCCCTACACCCCTCCCTCCTACTCCCTCTCAACCCATCCTAACCCTATCAATTCCGCATACTACTGATACTACTGATATCAATCCTCCTCCTACTCCCTCCCAACACAACCCATTTCCATCAACACCAACTACTCCATCCTCCCGACACCCATCCTCCTCCTACTCATATTCCCCCTACACAACTCCCTCCTACTCCCTCCCAACATAACACACACCCCTCAACTCCAACTATAAGTACATTCTCCCTCCCTCCATTCCCTCTATTATATCCATTCCCTCCTGGATACACACGTAAATCACTTATGTAATTCCCTTACCTAAACCCACCATAGCCTATTCACACAACTCCTTTACCTATCTTAACCTTTCCAGATCACTCTTAAATAGTTGACACATAGCAACTATCACGCTTCAACCCTCCTTTAATATACTTTCCTATAGTGCTATATGACCTTAGATGTCTAGCACATTTATTTTTGCTTTATAACCATTAACCATTAACCATTTCCTTTCACCATGACTCTGAAAGCTGCCATTACTACCTGCCCTCCTCCCTTAATTAAATGAGTACTATCACCTCAGTCCATTCCAAATCGTCCACCCAGGTCATTACTCAACTTCTAGAAAACATTCCTCCTCTCTCCCCATCTTCTACTTCACCTCCTCTACTCCCACAGCCTACTTCATCTACTAGCCCCTCCCTTATTATTACTTAGCGCCCTTATTTTCCACTTCTCCACAGTGCTACCTCTCTCAATGCTACTCCCTCTTCCCTTCTACTACCTCCACTTCTACAAACCTTTTGAATACTCTGTTTAGCCCAGCCAAGTGGGATCCTTTTTTCGTGCTCTCCTCCATAGCCCCTTACTCTGACAACACTCTCCTCTGTAAGTAATGACTCCAAAAATGAGTTGGCAAGTTTCCTTCAGCAGCCTCCCCGATAGTTCCCGCCTTGTCACAATTACATCCGAATCCCAAGCTAAAGCATTATCTACCATAACTGACTTGACTGGCAAACCCATTCCTGTCCAGCCTCATCTCTCCTTCAATACTTGTATTGGAATTGTCTCCATCTTCCCAATAACCTGCCCTGTCTATGACAAGAATTGGTCAAGATTATGGAAAAGACTTACTTGCCTGCCTCTTGGACTAAAATGCAGTATTAGTACAGTGATACGTCATTCCCCCTAGAAGCTGCCGTAATTATTCCACCAATACTGCCAAGATTACTTTACGTAGAATGATCTCCCCCATGATGTTTATATTGGTGGATAGTCTCTCCCTGTCTGACCATGTCACCCTCCCTTTGTCAATATCAGAATTGTTTGGCATCTAGGCCACCCTTCACAGACTGCCGCTTCACAGCCTGGCACCCTCTGTACCAAACCTGATTATAATTGATGAAACTCCTTTGCACAAAGATGGACATGTGCCAATTGTGGTGGCTCCCATAAAGTATTTTATAGGGGTTGCCCTGTGTGGCAAGACCACCAGACACAAACATACAGAGCAATCACAAACATCAGCTATTACAGACGTATGAATGAGACAACAAGATAGTGGAAATTCCTGTGTGAATGTGTGTAAAGAGTAAACTACTCTGATGCAAATGAGCACCTATAGTGATTTGCAGTCACTTGAGGATGTATGATTTAAGTAGGGGAATAGGTCATCGGCCAAAAGCAGTGACACTAGTTATGCTATATTTAATGCATTAGCTGTTAAAACATAACCCTTAATTGCTTATGATTATAGAAAAAATCTAAGGGAATAAAACTACAAAATAGAGTTTGGTGGTAGTGAGGCTGTGGATGTAGAAGCTGTTTATGTTAGGGGTGACGTACTTGTGGACAATCTTGATGGATACTTAAACTCAAGATAAAAATCAAAATACCCCAGTATATCTCTCTCATCCCATTTCTACACCCTCCTTCACGCAGTCAGTCTTTTACCATTCTAAATCCAAACACCCCAATCTCTACTACTATTACATAGTAATTATTACATACACTCCAATCTCTACTTCCCTGGAACCAACCATTTTCCTCCTTGCCCAACTTTCTCCTACTGCATCCTCACCTCTATCAACCTCTCCCTCTGCCCCTCAAATGTTTGTCCTCTCTACTCAACCAAATTTCAGAAACTCTCAGACATTCAAAACTAGCTAATCATGAACCAAGATAAGATGCCTACACCTCATCCATCCTCCAATCTCTCTGCTGTCATTCCTTCTACATTCAAAGTAATTGCCAACATTCATCCTCCTCCTACTTATATTCCCTCTACACCCATCCCCTTGCTTCAGCTACATCATCCCCCTTTCTCCCATAATGCCCTTTGATTCCTCATTGATACACATGTGACCCTTTGTCACAACAAACCCCTTGCCTGGATTCTATGGTGCTGTTTTACCTCTGATGTCTAGCACATTTATAATATTTTGTAAACATTAACCATTCTACAGATTCACAAATACATGGGTTCTAATCCCTTATTTAGATGGAGGCAGCATACCCCTATCAAAAGTCAAAGTTAGTCCAATATTCATCTGGATGTAAGGGACATGTTTTGTAGAGAAACATGCTTACTGAGGAAGTATGGTAACTTCATAATAATTCATTATAAAATAACTCAAAATTTTCAACACTCTTTATTCATTCTATAAGGAATTCAATGTGAGATTCTGGATTTCAGACAGATGTATAATAACGCAAATACTTATATTTCTTGTGAAATGTGAAACAAACTACAAACTGGACTTATTTCAGTAAATAATTTTTCTTTGGTAGATTTGCTGTAGAAAAATTTGTAAGTGCTTGAAGTGAAATAATGTAAGGAAGAAAATTATTTTTGTAATATAAACTGTTCAATGAACTCAAGTTGTTCTGATTCTGTTCTTTGCAGAGATTCATATTGAACACGCAGCCTCTCCAATTCTAATTTCTTCTCTCCAATCAGTGCCTGTAAAGAAAAATATTATTAAATTCAGAACATGTAAGAATGCTGAAAAATTACAAATGTGAATGAATATCTTCAAACACAAGAGATGTATTTAACCAGTTTCAAATATACCTACATCAGAAAATATAATATATAAAAAAATGGTTAAATACATTTCTTGTATTGTGATATTCATCCCCATTCATACCTTTTCTGCTTTTGTCACTAAAAATAAGGTTCATGTAAGAGTGCATCTATGTTTTACACATTTTATTAACTGACACATGTAGATAGTTTCAAGATTATGTATACTTTTTAATATAATGCCCATGGGGATATGTACTGTCAACTGTAGTCTTTTGTGAATACTGTTGAACACAGTTGGCTCCACAAATGCTCATTCACTAAGGAGTCAATTAATAGACCCTAGTGACTGCAACTGATTTCCTCATGAAAAATTTGTTTCCAATGAGCTAAGCATGCATTGCAAATATGGTACTAATTACAGTTACAAAAATAAGTCCCTCTGATAGTGGTCTTCACTAGCTGTATGCTTGTCTCTATATCCTTGTTCTATTACCTATTATGCATCTTTTGTTTATGCCTATGGGCTATCTCTATCCCCCATATTTGCTTTCTCTTGATATCATTCTCTCTTTCTTTACTAACCAGTAATTGGAGCTGCTGTGATTCCCGCTGCTTGCTCATACTTTTAATCAAATTCCTGGAGCCAATGGCACGCATTTTCTCTGTCTCTACAGCAGCACTTAATGAATCTGCAAGTTGGATGAAATTGTCTGCTCGCTGATGAAACTCAACAATTTCTGAAAAGATATCAAAACATCATTTATTTACATACTATATACTTAATGACTACAACCAGAGGTAGACTGAAAATATTTTTGGGAAGGAACATTGAAATGAGAAGTGGCAGGTACTTAAAAGAGGAATAAAGGGATGGGTAAGGGGAAAGCAAGGAGGAGAAGGGGCTTAGAGAAACATGAAGGGGGATGGAAGAGGAAGGGAATGAAGATAAGGGAGTGAAGGAGGTGAGGGAGTGAATAAAGTGGTGGAGTTTAGGGAGGAAGAGGTCAGACGTAAAAGGGGGCAGATGTAGGGCTTAAAGTGTGTGGTAAAGTGTGAACCTACTTCTCAAGTAGAACACAACAAAAGTAACTCAAACCACAATGTACCACAATGACAGTATTTTATAAAGGTTTCTTTTTACAAGATTTTTAATAGTAGTATAAGAGGAGGAATGAGTAAAAGTTGGACCAAAATACAGCAACTATGTCCAGCCATGGTAATAACTATGCACAAATAAACCCCAAATTGTTGATGTTGATTTCTAGTAAGTTTGATTCCAAAAGATCCCCTGTAAAAATAGTCACCTTACAGTTATTTAGCTATCAATGAATATGACTACATAATCATAGAAAAGTAAGTTATTCAACTCCTTGATATAATAACCTTAAGCCTAATTATTTATCTTTATTAACTGATTTTTCCAAATAAATTTATAGCTCAGGAAACTAGTGTTAATCTCTTAAAAAGTCTGAAACTAGCTGCACCCAGAGATGGGGCTTGCATGGTGGCACGGGGGGGCACTCGCCCCCTTGCAATCTGATTGGCCACCCCGTGTGCCCCCCAATGGTCAACTGACTAACTATACAGCAAACATCATAGTGATCTGTGTGTTAGCCTACCACTTGGCTTAAAGTACTCCCAGCAGATTTAATGTGGCCAAGAAAAGCAAGATGAAAACATAATCAATGTGTATCTGTACAATATAGATGTTGAAGTAGGCAGCCTTAATTTTGTTACTTTTGGGCAGCCCCCCAAGATTTTTTGTTGTTACCCCCTGTGCCCCCACTAGAAAATTCTCTGGACCCACTCCTGACTGCACCTGCACACTGAAGAGCCCTGCTATGGATCTAGATAGACAAATGCTGTTCAGCTGTTTATGCATTCTAAATTACCTCTGTGCCAAAGAGCACACAATATTTTCAGTGTTTATTCTAATAGGTTTATTTATGTAATTAACTTTTATTCTAAAGTTCTAAAAGCATGATCAAGGAAGTTTACTTGGTGAATATTTAGAAGACACAAACTGAAGCTCTTGAAATAGGTATAATCTTTATTGAAATATATTGAAATCATACTGCAGAAACCCCCCTAAAAGTGACAATATTGGTCCGATAGCAGGAAAAGTCATGAAAAGTACCAGGGAATTTACAGGATAAACTACGAAAAATATACACAGAATCAGTCAATTTAATGTTTTATGCATGGGGCTGTACCCCCCTTTGATCTCCATCCTGGGGGGTTGCTGCCCCAAACCCAAAAAATTAAAACAAAGAACCCTCCACATATTCATGACAGGGTAGAGTGTATGACCAACATGCAGGAGTTTTCTAACCTTCCTTAGACATGAGGTGAGAGGAATCCATCATTACCAAAATCATTGTGATTGGTATGCGAAGATATTGTGAAAATTATTGGATAGTATGCCTAACGCATTGATGAAAATAAATATTTTCAATTCAACCTTGAAACTTACTGATTGAAATAATTTAAATGTAGTATATACTCAATGACAAAAAAAATGAAATCACAAATGAACAAGCCCAATCTGCATCTTCATCTAATTCATAATATTAAGTCATACTCACTATCCACAAATTCTTTGCATTCGTCCTTTAATTCTGCAGTTTGCTGAGCAACTTCTGGCTCTAAAACTCTAATTTTATTGAGCTCGTCAAAGTATAGTCCAGCTTTTGCGAGAGTTTCATCTGCCATCGTGTAATGAAATACCTCTACTTAAGGTATTCACCAAAATATATAGATAATTGTGAACCAGTCGCGCCGAATTGCCGCTCCGCTTCCGAATTCTCTCCTCAGGAATGTAAACAAGGCGTTCGTGGTGAGGAATGAGGATTCGGGCATTCTAGCGGATTCGTGGAAATTAACAACGATCAATAATCATTCAGTCGGCAAGTCATAGTAACCAATAGCCATTCACTCCACGCGATAAACTGTCTGGTCGATAATTTAAAATTTTGATTTAAATTACAATGTAACTCTTATATTATGTTATATTCAAAGTAGATACAATCACATACGCTCAAGGTCTATAAAGTATATTAACCTTGCACACGATTACGATAGAACGCACACCCACACGCAAACACACTCGCACACGCACACTTACACGCACACTTAAACGTACACTTACACATGTAGACACACGCACACGGACAGCGCACACGCGCACACGCACACTGACATTATTATTATTATTATTATTATTGTTGTTTTATTATTATCATTATAATAACCTCCGTCAAGGAGGTTATTTTTTAGGTCGCGTTAGTTAGCAGGATAACTCAAAAGGTTATGAACAGATCTTTATTATATTTTACCAGAGGGGTGTCTTAGCCAAACTTCAATTCCATTAAATTTTGGTGGTGATCCGAATCATGATCCGGATTCACGAATTTTTGAATGATTGCATCAGTCACCCCTATTGCTAAGGTATTACCTAAATGACCTCCGCTAATGAGGTTATGTTTACGGACGTCACCAATGTACTTGAGAAAGGTGTATTTGATGTAATTCATCGAGTGTGAATATCTTTATTGTATCAGTGATCTAATTGCCTTGCCTGAGGTATGCGCTCTCTGAGTGCTTCTAGTTAGTGATAATGATGATATATATTTGTTTATTCGTTAATTAACAACATAACCAAAAAAAGGTTATGAATAGATTTTTATGAAAGTTTTACCAGAGGTGTCTCATGACTTAACTTTGATGGCATTACATTTTCGTGGTGAATCAGATCCAGATTTTTTTAATGAGTTATGAACAGATATTTATGAGTTTTTTACCATAGGCGTGCCTTGGCCTATCTTAGATGCCATTAAATTTAGGTGGTGATCCGGATTCAGGATTTTAAAAAATGATTGCATGAGTTAACCCTACATACAGGGGTAACTATTATTATTATCATTGCCTTTATTACCTCCGCCAAAGAGGTTATGTTTCCAGACATCACCAGTGTACTTGAAAAATATGTGATTTTATTGTAATTCTTCATGTTTTAGTATTTGTATTGCATCAGTGACCCTATTACCTTGGCAGAGGTATGCGCTCTCTGTGCTTCTAGTTATTATTATCATTATTGTTATTACAATATGATTATCATTAATTTTGTTACTATAATTGTTATTTTCAGTTTAATGATAATAATAATGTGTTATTATCACCATCGTCTCCATTATTATTAATGGTATTCTTATCATCATCATCATTATTATTATCATTACCATTATCATTGTCATTACTTTTACTACCAATATTATTATTATCATCATTATTATCATTATCATTGTCATTATTAATAATATCATCATTTATTATCTTATCATTATTGTTATCATTAATATTGTTAACATCATCTTCATTATCAATATGATAATGGTGATAATTATGATAACTGTCATTATTATCATTATCCTCATTAATTTTATTATCATTATTATAACAGCTATTATTATCATCCTTATAATAATAATAATAATTATTATTATTATTATTATTATTATTATTATTATTATTATTATTATTATCATTATTATTATTATCATTATTATTATTATCATTATTATTATCAGTATTGTTATTATTATTGTTATTATTATTATTATTATTATTATTATTATTATTATTATTATTATTATTATCATTATTATTATTATTATTATTATTATTATTATCATTATCATTATTATTATTATTATTATAATTATTATTATTATCATTATTATTATTATCATTATTATTGTTATTGTTATTATTATCATTATTATTGTTATTGTTATCATTATCATTATTGATGTTATCATTATTACTTTTCCTATTGTTATTATTTTTTATCATTTATTTAATCATAGTGATTGCTGTTATTAACAGCAATTTAAGTGTCATCGTCATTATCATTATCATTATTATTAGAGTTTTATTATTATTATCATCATCCCTTTTCTTAGTAGTATTAGGATTAGTATCAGTATTTATTAAGTGTTATTATCAGAATCATATCATTATTATACTATTATCATAGTTATTATTATTATCCTTCTATTCATATTATTATTATTATTGCTTTTATCATTTATGCTTATTATTTGTATTATTATTTTGATTGATGTTATTATTGATATTACTGTATTCACTACAACTATAATCATCATCATTATTATCACTGCAGCTGTCACTGTTATTATTGTTATTATTAATACTTATATCATTATTACGATTTTTATTAACTATTATTTTGGCCATTGTCATAATTTTTGTAGTTATTGTTATCATTATTGTTGCTATTATTTTTGACACCGTTACTACTGTTCCTGTCGTTTCTATTCCCAATGTTATTATCATTATTTCTGTTGTCATTATTAAAAGTATTATCACCATTATCATCATCATTATTATCATCATTATTATCATTACTATTATTATCATTGTTATTATCACTAGTAGTAATAGTTTTATTAGTATTATCATTATCATTACTATCAAAATAATAATAGAGAGTATAATCGTCACTATTATTATCATTTTCATTAATGATATTGTCTTTATCGTTATTATCATTATTATCATTACTATCATTATTTATATTATTGCCATTATTATTGTTTTTATTATTATTATTGTCATTCTCATTCTCATTATCATTTATTATTATTATTATTATTATTATTATTATCATTATTATTATTATCATTATCATTGTTATTATTGTTATCATTATTGTTATTATCATTATTATTATCATTATCATTATGACTAATATAATTTCTATTATTGCTATCATCATTATCATTATTATTGGTGGTGGTATCATTATTTTTTATTATAATTATCATTTATATTTTTATTGTTATAATTTTCATCACTATACTGTTACTATTATCAATGTTACTATTATTATTATTGTTAGTATTATCATTGTTATTATTACTATTCTTGTTAAGATTATTATCATTATTATTATCATCATCATTATTATTATTATTTTATTGTTATTATTATTATTTTTTTATTATTATCATTATTATTGTTATTAGCATTATTATCATTATCATTATATTATTACTATCATCATCATTATTATTATTATTATTATCATATTTATTATCATTACTATTATTTTCTTTCATCATTATTATCACTGTCATTATTATTATCATTATGATCATCATTATCATTATCATAATTTTTGTACTATTATTATCATGAATTACAATATTATTATTATCATCATCATAATAAGCACCATAATCAAAATCATTGTTATCTCTTCTGCTGAAGACTATACTTAGGTCACTCACACGCACACCCACGCACTCACGCACGCACCCACACACGCATGCACGCACTAACACACACACAGCACACACACACACACACACACACACACACACACAACACACACACACACACAACACACACACCACACACACACACACAACACACACACACAACACACACACACAAACACACACACACACACACACACACACACACACACACACACACACACACACACACACATACACACACACATACATACACATGCAACACACACACACACACACACACCACACACACACACACACACACACACACACACACACACACACACACACACACACACATATATATATATATATAATATATATATATATATATATATACATATATGTATATATATGTATATATATATATATATATGTGTGTGTGTATATATATATATACATACATATATATATATATATATATATATATATATATATATATATATATATACATATATTGTATATATATATATATATGTGTGTGTGTGTGTGTGTGTGTGTGTGTGTGTGTGTGTGTGTGTGTGTGTGGTGTGTGTGTGTGTGTGTGTGTGTATGTCTGTATATATATATATATATATGTATATATATATGTATATATATATATATATATATATATATATATATGTGCGCGCGCGCGCGCGCGCGCGCGCGTGTGTGTGTGTGTGTGTGTGTGTGTGTGTGTGTGTGTGTGTGTGTGTGTGTGTGTGTAAGTATGTATGTATATGTATATATAGACACACACACACACACACACACACACACACACACACACACACACACACACACATATATATATATATATATATAATATATATATATATATATATATGTGTGTGTGTGTGTGTGTGTGTGTGTGTTGTGTGTGTGTGTGTGTGTGTGTGTGTGTGTGTGTGTGTGTGTGTGTGTGTGTGTGTGTGTGTGTGTGTATGTGTGTGTATGTGTGTGTGTGTGTGTGTGTGTGTGTGTGTGTGTGTGTGTGTGTGTGTGTGTGTGTGTGTGTGTGTGTGTGTGTGTGTGTGTGGTGTGTGTGTGTGTGTGTGTGTGTGTGTGTATTTATTTATTTATCTATTTATTTATTCATTTATTTATATACGTATTTATCATATTTTTCTTGAGCCGAAGTCTACGTATTCCTGAATATGGTTCTCTGGTTCTCCGAACGCCATTGCGTTTGCATTCGACATGAGGTGAAATACTAGTCATATTAACAATGTAGGATCTTCTGTAATTTTGATGTACAAAATTATGTTTCATAATTCTTACGGAGAATTAATAAATCAATTAATAGTCAATCGCGATTAATCCTGCAAAAAAACACACCCAATTCCAAATTTCTCCTATAAATTACTCTTGGAACCATCCTGTATGTCTATACAGCACTTCGATATTTTTCTACTTTTTTCTTTTTTCTAAAGGCGTTTTAAGATCGGAGCCCTATTACAAATTAGCCCGAGAAAGAAAAAAACGATTTGTGTGAAGGAGCGTGTAAGAGCAAGATGGTCGCTCGGACGTAGAAGGTGTCTGCTAAAACCTCTTCTCATTTTTCACTCCTGTGCAATTCCAGCAAACATTTTCCGGCAAGTTTGTGTTTTTGTATGGTT